CTGGGCTTATTAGCCGTGGGCTTAATAGCCGGCGACTGCTGTAGTAGTACTTGACCCAATCGTGATTAAACTGACGGTTTTCAGCGGGAGCCTCGTAGCTCAGTTGGTTAGAACGTTGGCTGTACTAAGACCTTCCCCTTTGCTGACGTAGCTTCGAATCCAATCGAATATAAATTTGACGTTTTCTATATCGGCATTTTTAATAAAATCAAGAATAAAGGGGAAAAGTGGGTTACCTAAATAGTAGTCATTTTGCACGCGACCTGAAAGGTTGGTAAGAGGCCGGCATTCTGACTTGTGTGAAATATCTGAGGATTTTCATGCAGGATAATTACCACTGCAAACCGATTTATGTGAGCTCTTCAGATTGAAAACACATTTCATGATTTCCATGAAAATTTCCTGCGATACCACATTTTAAATGCATTGGGAATGTATCCCGGCCTATTTTATTCTACACGTTTTATTCTGTTCACGCCTAAGCGGTACACCCAGTTAACGCCGTTTTATTAACTATCTGGCAGAGATGGCTTGATCATGTGTTTTGCCGACCTAGAATGGGCTCATCACGGAAACCATACCCCTAGAATTCTGTGATACGGAAACGCTGGTAATAGGGTTGGAGCATTAAGGGACCGTTTGAGAGAAAATAAAATAAAATGGTAAACTAAGACAGGAGATAGTAGATAAAATTATTATAATAAGCTAATATATGCAACGAACATGCGCGCGATAATTTAAAAATAGACTGTTAGGAATACCTCCATTTCCACAATGAGCTATCTCACAGAAGGGCCCCTGAGCACAGCTGTCACGCCACTGCCGTGAGAGCACCCACCGTGGCTATCGATTGTTCGTCAGATCTGATTGGCTCAGGGTCGCCGTCGCCTCCTCAGCAAGCGGACCAAATAAATATACGCAAGCTTTTTGTGAGAGCGACTTGCTTACACTTATGCTCATGGTCGATCGCCTTCTCTTGCTCCCTGGTGCTGCCTTTGGGAACCACAGTCGGGCAAGCTCGCAGTTCGTGCTAATTAGGTGTACCAGGCACGGGACTTAGCATAAACAGAAAGCAATATGCGACAATGCGGACCCGAATCGAATCCGAGGGTTCGAAAAACCGAACATGAAACGAATCCGAAGTTGACCAACTTTTTCGAAAGCCAATCGGATCCGAAAATTCGAATCTCATTTTTCAACTCGATCGCAGCAGTAAAGTAACGCTGAAAAGCCTGCGAATAGTATTTATAATATTCATTATGATAATATAATCTATAAAATAATAATGGATTGTTACCACCACTTTCTGTGTTGGATGCGGGACGAGTTTAGGCGTCTGCAGTTAAATGTGAATTTACCACTTGCCGTCCCAACAGGATTTCTTTCTGTTTCTCTCCTCTTTACGCGTGCTAGCCCTCAATGAGCGCAAAGCAGAGGTACGCATCCAGTTCAGGGAGCTGGCTATTGACATCTTCGAGAGCGGAGTCCGACGCAATGAACTGGTAATGCGTGTCCAACCGGACGAAGCAGTCTACCTCAAAGTGATGACCAAACGACCTGGCATGGATCTAATTCCAGAGGAGACTGAACTGGATCTCACTTATTCCAAGCGCTTCGGGGTGGGTATTTAACATTTGGATTATACAAAAAGAAATTCCATCTTTACATTCATAATTGCAATTAAATCGGAAAGTCCCATGCGTAGCAGGTGAACCCTACTGAGAAAACGAGCCCATTTACAGTTGGGGTGTATTGGCGAAACGTGTCTGGTGCTGTCGATAGCATTTAGGAATGCGATGATACCACCCCCTTCTTTATCTATTATCCTACGTACTCCCTCCTTGCTCTAGGAGGTTAGGTCACTGAAGTTGGCTAAGGTGTTTCGGTTTCAATAAAGTTGCCCGAAGTCCAGAAA